CCCCGCCCCCCCCCCCCCCCCGTATTTTCTGTTGTACATCATGGAGCAAAAACCTAGAGGCTGTTGGAAAGCACATTGTTTCCACGCATGACCACCACAGGTTCTTCTGCCCAATCCTCTCTAGTTAAAGGATCCCCTGGGAACAAGGGTGTCTGCCTGAGACAATCCATTTTTGACCTGTTCCACATATTAGATTATTGGTCGTCTTATACATTTAGTTCTGTGCCTGATTTATTTATTAATTTTTATTTGCAGCCTGAAACAAGAACTTGCGATGCAAGAATGAAGCTCCAGCCCTGTCCTGCAGCGGCACCGATACTAAGCGTGTTAATTGTCGATTTGATTGAGCTTTTAATTCCTGATTTTTTTTAAGCCTTAGGTTTGTTTATTTCGTAAGTGCAACCAGAGCCTATCTGTCATCGGCTTGAAATCACCTGTTGCAGAGCTTCCATTATGCAGATGTTTACAGACTTACCTGCTCCCAGTGTTCCGTTATTTCTCCCTTTAGTTTTACCAAACCGCCAGCATCTGTTTGTACAGTTACCGCTTGCAGCACGTTTAGCAACAATCCAAGCAAACTATCCTTTGCTCGTAAGACCCTTTAAAAATGTTAGTAGCCCCGAGAGAGGAATATTGTTTCATTTGCTGATCTTGGGAAATGGTTTTAAGAGCTGATAATCGAATCTCTTGAAACAATCTGTGACAAACATGGACGCTGCTTAAAAATTTGGGGGTTGGGTGGTGGCTTGAACCAGTCTAAATCCAGAGCTATCAAATGTAGCTTAGCACATGCTGGGTTTTGTTTTGTTTTTTTGCTTGCTTGGGAGTGTGTGTAGTTTTATCTTCTTTTTTTTGTAATAGAATGATAGATAACTGAGGTGTGCCTGGTTGAGTGAGTCAGTCTTGCTTTATGACATGTTACCGGTGCTTCTCACTGGCCAAAAGACCAATATGTACTGAAAGTGTTTTAGGCTGGCCTACACTGTGGCCAAACACCAAAGTTCTGTGTACAAGAGCAACTGTAATTGTGCTTTTCTCCTGCCCTCTTCCTGGTTATGTGCTCAGGATAATATTTAACATGGATTCCATCCTCTGCAGCCCTTGTATAGAAAACCCAATATGCAATAGCTGAAATGCAATCGCTTTATTATAGGTGTGTGTGTGAACTTTGCAGAATAACTTAGCATAGCGAGGGGCTATATAAACCAGAAGTTTGCTCTTCCACACTGTTGCACATGGGCCATGCAGTCAGGGACTGTTAGTGGTAATGAGACGAACACTGACCTCCAAAAATAAACTGTCCCAACTATAGGAAGGTCTGGATCTACTGTCTGCACTGGAGCCCAAAGAAGAGAGGTCAGGTGAGCGATAGTGTTCCAGAGGGCAATATTTGCCAAGAGATGAAGCAGTAGACTGTTCCACTGACTTGCCCTTCAAACACCAGTCATTGTGATCAATCATGCAGTTTCTCTCTTGGACCAAGCTGACAACTGAGATTACAGTTGGCTTCAAATTAAAATGCTGTCGCACTTCGAAGCATGGTCCTAGAATTACAGTAACAGTAGTTTTACTGTTAATATGGGGAGGGGGGCTGAAATAGTCTTACACATGACCATGAATCTCTAAGTCTTTAGGGTGATTGTGAGCATATGGAAAGGGAGAAAAAAGGCTTCTTTAGATAGTGCCATGTCTTTCTGTGGCTTTTGTTGCTTTATGCAACATCATCTTAAGGCTCTGCTCATCATATTATAGGGCAAGTTCCATTATTCAGAGAGTCAGGAATCTCTCTCTGGGGATGGACTGTGATTTGCTTTCCTGTTGTACATTTGGATGGGTTTTCGTGGCTATGTTGTTCTGCTTGTAGATTACGTTGGTATTGGGATGGATACCTAATACTCTGGTGTGTCCTGCTTTTTCTAACAGTTCTAGATGGTCTTTGGTCCTACATGAAAAGCCTAGCTCAGCATCCACTTTCAGAAAGGTGGCACTGTGTATCCTGGGCTTACGTAGCTGCCACTCAAGGATTTTGCAGTTTGGGGTTTTTTTTAAGGACTGTAATGATACTAATATGATGAAGCAGGTTCTTAAATGCTGTAAATGGATCCTAATATCTAGGAAGCTCTTATGTACAAAGTTTAATTTTGATAATTAAAAACAACTTTGTTTAGAAATTGTTGTTGTGACATGTATTCTAGGATTCATGGTGTGTGTGTGTATTCAGTGGTGGATCTCCATGATTGGGGGGAGGGTTGATTTTCACTAATTTCTCCCCTCATGTCATTCTACAGGAGGGGTTCCCTGCCCCCCAGGAGTAGCACACACATTCTTTGCCACAGGTGGCCATATACAAGGTCCCCCATCTGTTGCAGAAGAGGGCATCAGTGATGCATACAGAAGAATATGTGCATGACTCAGTTCCTTCATTTGATGCACATAAAGAAGACACACCTAAATTAAGGAGTGGTCTTCATACAAACAAAAATGTACACAATTGAGTCAATTTTTGAATTAGTTTTGGGCAAAATAAAAGCATATTCCTTCATTGTATGTTTACTATAGGTGTTGTTTTAGCTACCAGAAGATAGCAGATTAAAATTAGATTTCTTGATTTACCTAAATCTTAAATTTATTTTTCGTTTGGAAACAGCGCTGAGAACAGTTAAGAGCCCTGTTGCGTGCTTAATGGGTTTAAGTGTGTAGTAATTAAAATAAAATTGCAAACAAGCGTTTCCCCAAACAAATCTTGATACTTCTAAAAATTGTCACAGAGTCCGTAGGTATGTATAAAGCATACTGAGTCAGGCCTAGGAAGTAGTAAAGTAAAAGGTAAAGGTTCCCTTGCTTGAAAGCCAGTCGAATCCGACTCTAGGGTTGCGGTGCTCATCTCCGTTTCAAAGCCGAAGAGCCAGCGCTGTCCAAAGACGTTTCCGTGGTCATGTGGCCAGCATGACTAAACGCCAAGGCGCACGGAACGCTGTTACCTTCCCACCGAAGCGGTACCTATTTATCTACTTGCAGTTTCTTGCTTTCGAACTGCTAGGTTGGCAGAAGCTGGAACTAGAGACGGGAGCTCACTCCGTCATGCGGCAACTCAGGTCTTGAACTGCTGAACTACCGACCTTCCACAGCCTGCAGTTCAGATGTGATGACAAGTGGGAGGATATCTGTGTGGCACACAGAAAGTCCCAGTTTCAATACCCATCCAATGTTGGTAAAGAATCAGACTAAATGAGATTTGAATGAACTGAGCTGTCATTCCACTCTGGGGCCTGTCATTCCACCCGGCTCAGAACACTCCTCCTACACCCAGGAGCTGTCATTCCACTCTGGGGCCTGTCATTCCACCCGGCTCAGAACACTCCTCCTACACCCAGGAGCTGTCATTCCACTCTGGGGCCTGTTGTTAAGCCAAATTGCTCTATTATTTAATAAAGATGGGGAATTATAATTATTAATATGCAGTTGGCTTATCTATAGGATCTGACCTGTGTATACCAGAGTTAGAATTCCCAAGAACCCAGGAACAGACACAGAAACTGGGTGGCTAAAATAATGATTTCTTTACTAAACATTATCAAGCATACAAACAATATTCAAACACACAATATAGAACTATAAGGAAGCAGAGGTGATTGATAGCTTATAGAAGGGTGATACAACCTGTCCAGATGTGCAGAGGTCCATGGATTGTGGCCTAAACTCAGAGAGTTCAGGGGTGGACTGCCATTTTGGATTATGGCAGAAAACACACAGGCTGAGGCCATGTTTACGCTGGGATATACCCTATGGAAGACAATGCAGACCAATGGCTGGTCCTGGGGGCTGGTCTCAGGTGAGAACAATAGATTTCCTGGACCAATGATGAGTCCAAGGGGTGTGTGGCATCAAGATGGGCAAGGCCTAGATGTGACCAATGAGTTTTCAGAGAGGCAGGGTCTGGATTTAACAATAGAAGCCAGGTGCTGGGTGGCTAGTTGAATGGATTATCTGACCACTAATGATCCTGGCCAGGGTAAACAAAAGGTGGGAGACGTCCCTGATTAGCGTCAGGAAGGATAGTTAATAATTTGAATGTTTGATTGGTTTATCCCAGTATCTTGAGGGACAGAGTAGAAAAGACAAGTATTCAGACAAAGAATTATATAGACTTTAGAAATGTAGATACCTTACCTGCTAGAACTCATTGTTATTCCATAAGCATAATCTCTGCTGGGTGGAGGAGGAAGACTGGAGGCTTGCTCTGAGGTTGCCTGTCACCTGAAAATGGAGACCCCTTTTTCAGAGCTGTGTCTAGCTCTGTGTTTCAGAACAAAGAGTGCCTTCCTTGGCCTGAATTTTGTGGGTCTCTGGATCAGGTTAGAAGTGGGGTGCCCCTGCTATTGGGGCTACCCAAGAGTAAAAGGTAGCGCCTCTGGCAACACTGTCATTCCACCCGGCTCAGAACACTCCTTCTACACCCAGGAGCTGTCATTCCACTCTGGGGCCACTCCTCCTATCTCCTTGGGCTGTCATTCCACTGTGGGTCCTGTCATTCCGCCCTCAAGACACCCCTCCTACACCCAGGAGCTGTCATTCCACTGCGGGGCCTGTCATTCCAGTACCATAACACTCCTGCTACCCCCTGGTGCTCTCATTCCACTCTGGGTTCCTGTCCTTCCAGTCCCAGAGCAGTGTTGTTAGATCGCGCTAACAAAGGTCG